ATGGATGGCTTTGTATTAGGCAGTTACTTTTCTTCAGTATAGAAATAATTAAACAGCTCTTGATTATTTTTAATGTGTTATCCCTTTCTAAATAACATAAACCTTAACAGTTTGACTTTTAAATACGATTTTTAGATTACTTTACACTAAATTTTTAAGCATAGGTACTATTTGATTTTCCTTCATACTTTACAACCCAACGTATTGTAGTACATCCTGTGTCGCTGTCTCTTTTACTCTCACACTGTTTACCAATACAGAACAATAAAGCGGAGCATTAATAGTACGTCGCACAGCGAACGAACGTAGACACTAGTAGACAGAGTAAACAATAGATAGTTTTAGTACTGCGCTTGAAGTTGGCCAAAAAAGGCCACACACATTGTGATCGTGAACGTGGAGAGCTACATTTCATCATAACTTTTTAGTCACTTACAGTACCTACTTACGAAAATTCGTATACATTTGAAGGCAGTTACAAGCAATAGAATAACGTTTAAAGTAAGTCTTTAGAGGTCTTATTCAAAGTGTTAGGACGTATTGAAGTGTTTTCATACTTACCTAAATTCTTTTTAAACGGTCCATTATTTTTGTTATTTCATTGTCGAACAAATTAAAAGTAATTCTTAAGAAGTTATGTACAAAAGATGGTTACAATTCGCTTACCTGTTTCAGAGATCCAGCAAACCCACAAACGTTACTCCAGCAGGATCTTGAATAACTTCGCAGCCGAAGAAAATACAAATACCAAATAAGTTGTAACATTTACCTAGTCCAGATAACTAATTACTTAGTTAAAATTTATTTCAATATAACAATTAAAAAAGAAAATGTCTGGCTGCGGTAACGTTTCAAACGTTACCCCAGCAGGAAATGTTTTTTTGAAATAACTAAAAAAGTTTAAGTGAAACAAATTTAAAAATGTGCCTAACAATTACAGAAGGGGAGCAACTAATTATCTATAACGTTTAAATGACCATTTTCGACATTATTTTGCTGGGGTAACGCACACTCAGTGTAGGTAACCAAATCTTGCCATAAACATTGTTACAAGGCGATTGTTTTTTTCTCTTATATAAAACGTTTATTACTAAGTGTTAGTTTATACATAAATATAATTGCATTAAAAATATATGAAATTCATTCAAAATGATCTCCATTGGATTTAATACAGTTCTTTAAACATTGAGGTCAGTTTTGAATAGAAACACGCTCTCTCTCCATGGGAAAATTCTTCACTGCCAATCTTATTGATTGTTTTAGGGACCCCATATTATCATGGCGTTTACAACATGCTATACTCTTGACCATAAATCATCAGAGTCATCAGAGTAGATGACGGCCAGTCTTCAACTCTGATGAAGTGACGTTCGTTTCCAACCACGCTTGGTTCAAGCTTTATGACCCAGTGCGGAGTCTTGCTGAAAAGACTATTCTTGTTTATAGAACATCGTATTCTCGTTTAATCATCTTCTCAAGGATCTTATCTTTATACACTTATGCCGATTTTTGACATCTTTTCACAAAAATCAGGCATAGTCAAACTACTGCTTGGCTAGAAGATAGCCTTCTATCGCTAAATCGCAATAAAACAAAATATCTCTGCTTCAGTAAATCAGTTATGAGCCAACCATCTGCAAAACACATTCTTAAAATACACATGTATCCCTGTAATCGTGGAGTGAATCGCTCTAAATGTGACTGTGCAACCCTATGTCGTGTAACTTCCATTAAGTAGCTAGGTATAACAGTAGACATTCAACTTACCTGGGGCCCACACATAGCGGTTGTGACAACTAGAATAAGAAAAATTATACACATATTTAAAAATCTACGTAACACCGGGGATGTAGACCTAGGTGTACTAGGGACGTACAGAGCACTATGTGAATGCATCATCAGATACTGCATCTGTGTATGGGGAGGCGCAGGTAAAACTTACCTTTTGACAGCAGAGAGGGCCCAGCGTGCGGTTCTAAAAGTGCTGATGTATACCGTACAGGCATCCCACTACATCAGTATACGAAAAGGCTGGCGTCCTCTCTGTAAGGAATATGTATATTTATGAGATCCTAAGACGCTACCATAAAAAAATTATGTCAACCTTACCTGTGTCAAACAAACGTGTAGAACGTTGCCCGGTATCTAGAACAAAAAGTGCCTCTGGGCAAATGCATTTTAATTTTCTTGGCCCTTACATATACAATAAATGTTACAAGATACAAAAAATAAAAAAGCTCAGTCATCTAAAACTTAAAAGAGTTGTACATACCTGTCTGAGTACAATGGACTACGACACTGTTGAAAATCTATTAAGAGTCGATAAGTGATGAAGTAACTTATTACCTTAGTCAACCAACATATACATATTCCAAAACACATATATATATTCCAACACACACAAACAGCGCATGAATTGATTATTATTTTAAATTAGTTTTTCCTTTCTTTCTTTTTTATTATACCAAAATTTTGACTGTCTATGTAAATTGGGGAGGACACTCCTGCAACACAGTATCTACTAAGTACTAGTGTAATTGTGTGTAATGTGCCAGAGAATTCTGAAGTTAATGTAAATTGTTATTGGCAATAAATTATAAATCATTATTATAAATTATTTTAAATTAGTAAATTATAAAGTATAATTATAAATTATAGTCGATCCTTGATAGCTAACACCACACCTAACCATCGCTGAGGCAAGATAATGCCCACGTTGTACTCTTCTGACTAATTCAGAAGCTTCTATAGAGCTTTAAGCATAAACTCGGTCATTCTGCTTTTTAGACTGTACTTACAACATTAACAAAACCTTGAAATACGGTCTCAAGTGCAACGGCGCGCTGATGCGCCAATTACGTTAACGAGCGCGGGACTTAGCGAAAACGCGCTTTTGAGACGCCCGGTACCTCAAGGGTTAATAGTAGGAAAAAAAGCTGTAAATTTTTGTGACCTTGCTTCGTTCTGTAAAAGAAATTGTTTTGATGTTATCACTGTATTTCTTTTTATATTATTAGTCACCTATAGGCTGCAATTTCCAATACGCGACATTCCATTATTGCCTTGATCGCCTTTTTCGTAAGTACTTCGTGGACGATCAGATCTTTTTCTGTCATAAACAAAGGCTTTCTTGTACCTATCAATAGTCCGATACACTTTTTTTTTTATGGAGGTGGAGGCATACGAGCAGACGGGTCACCTGATGGAAAGTGACTACCGATGCCAATGAACGCCTGCAACTCAGGAGTCACATGCGGCCTTTTAGGAGTACGCTGTTTTCTTGAGGGTTTGAAGGTCGTATTGATCCGGAAATATCTCTATATCACAGATTGGTTGTGCGGGGCAAACATACGACTAATACTAGTCTCAAAATTGAATTTGGCTCCATATCTACTTTGTTTAATGCTATCACAGCAATTCGGTTCTCTTTATCAATAATGAATATTTTAAGAATGACATATTCCAAATTCAAATGTAATATTACCTATATTTGTTAATTGTAACAGTATTTATAGCCACACTTAGTATTTGTCTAGAGAGATAGAAATAATTAAAACAAGTACGAGATTACAATGTTTATTTTGCATACATTTTTGTTTTATACTTGGAGGATAAGCTAGAATTTGATTACATGACATGTAAGAATATAGAGACATTTTAAACTGCATACTATCCGAGTAGTGTTTCATAAGACTATACCATTGATATTTTATTTTGTTGTATTTAATATCACCACCAACATCTTATAGGAAGTTTACAATAAAATGTGGGAATAGAACATCTATGAGCTACGAATGAGACAACCATAAAGAACAATTTCTATTCATACAACTACACACAATACACTGCCTCTAAAATTTCTATTGAAAATGTATGTATTATAATTTTAATGAATGAGTCTAGTCTAGTGGTGGTCATTTAAAGTGGTTTTACATTGATTCGTGAATATTTATTAATCCTAAGGTAGACAATGGACACGATTCTTACAACGTTATTACAATTAATAAAATCCAATATTATATTTAGTACACAATACATAAAAGTATTAGTTGGTTCTTCAGCCGAGTTCTCTGTTTATCAGTAGACAAATGTATTTGAATATAAGTATTAAAAGACTTAATATTTATTTATAAAAAAAATGAACTTTTTTACACTAACGTTATTCATTGTTAGTGTAAAAAAGTACATGATGTTCAACCATAACGTAGAGTCCTTTAGAAATCAGCTTCTACGTATCTTTAATGTATATTAAATACAACCTTGAATACAGAAAGCTTTTGTCTTTTTTTAGCGGATTTATGTTGAGTATCTTTAATGATGACTGTCAAAAATAGCATCAGAAAAATTATTTTAACAACAAAACGCCAACTTACGTAACATAAATCAGTATAAAGTAATATACAAAAGATCATTTCAAGATGTAACAAAACATTTCACTCGAGAGACAGCCTTCGAGATGATAGGTCCTAGATGCTTTAGTAGCAGTGAATAACATGATTTTTATAAATTTAAGTGTTGGCAACCTAAGAATAACACTTAAAAGATTCATCCAAAATGTCTCTGCCTTAGTATAGTAACCTTTATAATGCAATGTGAATCCACTTAGTATTGATTTTCTTTGATTAACATACATTACATATATTATTATAATGTATTTTAACATGAGGTCTATAGTTTGAAGCATAAAATCCAAGTAATTCAAATATGCCAAGTAAATCAACCAACTTAAGCTAAACAGAAGTAGGTGATTATGTTTCTTTAGTTACTGTCCTCTTGTCATGTCACATGCAAAAAAACTTGCATAATTCACAGTCAGTCTTAATATATTTTAGTTTTTGCATTATGACTCTATGATGAAGGGCTAGTCATTGTAACTCAGTCTTAATCCTCTCTGATATAAAAAAAAGTCAATATTTATTGGTTCACATATACAAAAGAATAAGTTTGTTACATCTTGTTTTTATAAGAGCAAACTTAACATGAACATAGAATGTTAAAACTTAAGAAGTAGAGACAGAAGCCAATCGTGCCCTGCCTTCAGCAACTAATTGTTTATTTAAATAAATATCTTCATCTGTGGAAGTGTCAATAAGATCAAGTGTTAACAATGGCTCATTAGGGTTTAAAGGATCCTTGCCTACATCCTTACAAATACCAACAAATTGTTGTTCCACACACAATTCTTGGAATCGGATGCAGTCTTCTACTGTCCAGTCTTGATGTAGAGGCAAAACATCTGTAACAACAATTATATATATAGTATATTTAAAGCTAAATGATGAGTGGCCATACTGGCCATATGTCGGGTAGTTTATAATCACGGCAAGCAATTGACAATTGATTCGACAGAAAAAAAAAACCACAAGAACACCCAGACTCAGAACAACATATTGTGGATCACACAAAGTGTCGTCCCATGTGGGGTTTGAACCCACAACACTCGGCGCAGCAGGAAGCGGCTAGGTGACCGCTAAACCACTACGCTATTCGTGCAGTCAAACATTATATGACATTTTGTAAATCTTTCTTAAAAGTCGCAACAGTTGGAATAGTGTTGGTAAATATTTTTCACCGAATCACTCACCGAATTTAACGATACTCATAAAGTAAAATTTAATTTTGAAGATAAGTAATTTTAGCAAAGTCAGAGACTAGTGTGTTTAATAAAGAATATGATCATCAATCTGTAGCCCTCGCATAATCATAGTTTATCACACGCACTTTTAATAAATTGCAACACTTCCTTCTAACTCATTTTTAAAAACAATTTTAACAATTAATTTATAACTCATATATGCTTATATCAGAAAGCCTCACGTAAAATGAATAGCAAAAAAACATTCTTTATACATTTTTGTCGATCCAGTGAAAAAGAAAGTTCTCAGTAGATCTTCAACTTTAAAAGAGTACCTCAACAGTAATCTCATCAGATACATATTATTATGTCTATCTTTTAAATAAAAAATCTCAGTAGATCCACATCTTGAAATCAGGATCTAACGAGAAATAAAATTGTCATTAGATAGATCCATCATGGATCTGGTCAATGGATCTTCTGAGATTGATCGAAACAAAAATTCTCAGTAGATTCACCTCTAGAAATCTGGAGCCAATGACAAAAAAAATCGTCATTAGATTCATCGTGGGTCTGGCCAATGGATCTTCTGAGATTGATTGAAACCAAAATTCTCAGTAGATCCTCATCTCGAAATCAGGATCCAATGAGAAAAAAAAATTGTCATTAAATCAATCATGGATCTGGCCAATGGATATTCTGAGGTTGAACCATTTCATGGTATAGCAAATTATAAGGATATAATGACTAATCCTCTAAAGGACGAACAAACTGCAACCCGGTCACTAAAAATGCACTATAAGTCGTGAAATAAAACGGTACTATGTTTCCCCTTTCTGGTACGAATTGCTTCACGAGTCTACTGCCATAACCATGACTAAAGTATTGTTGTAACAATATACATTTTTTAACTTGCATTAATTCCATTTCAAATGTCTAAGCACAGGTTGGCACTCAAGATTTTTTCCTATTTTTTAATGAGTCATAGCCACTAACAGTATCAAACAATAATATAAACAGTTTTAGTTACTATTATTGTAAGAAAGTATTAACTATCTTAAAAACAACTTAGTATAACGTAGAGATGTGGCTTCACTCTGCATTCTCTATCGCATATATCATGGAGTGCTCCGAGGAATTGTGCGGACTAATACCAGACGTATTAACCATAGCCGTATTAATAATAAAAAAAAAACGTAGCCCACGTCATATGTTTACAATTACTTTTATTATAAACAGTTTGCATAATAATATGTTGTGACTAAATGACTACGTATTGTGCCTGACTATTTCATAAAATGATTGTCTTTCACTATGTAGATGTCTAACACAGTAATAAATTAACAAATATGCTTTCTGAGGGCAATCATTTTACTAGATAAAATTTATTCTCACCATAAAGACGAGCTTTTATAGCTTGAGGTGGCAATGAGCGCGCCAATGGGGCCCCCGGTGGTATGGGCCGCAATGCTTTAGTGGCGACCATAGCCAGATCTCCATAATCACAGAAATAAACAGAAACCATTTCAGTGGATACCGTCCCTGCAATTATTATCCTTAAAAACAAAGAAATACATCAGTCACACAAAACTGTAAAAATATTATAAATATCGATGTTTTAAGCAAAAAAAATTTGTCATATTTATAAATCCAACATCCCGACAGACTGACACCGATTAACTGACGAAATTTCAGTGAAGTAGGCACTCTCAATAAAAAACAATAAAAAAAATGCAAAAGGAATATTTGACATTTTTGTCTTCGTAACCTGTAAGTCTGTACACCAATATTTAAAGGGAATTAGGATATCGCATTAAAAAGTAAAAAAGTGTACTCTGTTTGGAAGCCAGAGACTGGATAGGTAGTGCCTGAAGAGCTCCTACTCTTCAGGGGCTATTTACTACTATGCACCTGGAATTTGGGGTCATACTATTAGTTTTGAGGAGTCAAATAGATGGGCTTAGTTAGGCTGGCCTGATGTGATAAAGATAGTGAAAATCTTTTCTGTTTTGTAATTTGACTCTGTATTAAAGCGTTTCGTTCTTCGTTCGGTTATATTAAACAAAACTCCGTCTTCATTATGTTAAATCAACGATTTCGCTTTTAGTAAATAACATTTAGGCAACAAGTAGTAAAAACTCTAAGTTTCTTTCTTCCATTTACCTGTACCAAGAAGCATCTTTTTCATAGTACACAGTGTACAATTCTCCATTAGCGGGACTGGTAGGCGCGTCGAGTTCTGACATTTTTGGACATTCAGTTTGAAGTTTTGCCATCATAGTTTGAAGAGTGCATCGAGTACTATTTGGCTGTACCTGAAAAGTATAAATTCTGTTTTTGTAGCTAACGGTCCAAAATAATAAAGTATGTAATACAAAATATACATGTGTGATGTTTGTTTTAGCTATACACCACTTTTAATGCAGCACGCAATTATCACACTACTAAACATTTAGTTTACTTAGGTGCTCGAACTTGTGGCAGTGCACCAAGATATCACGAAATGAATAATATCTTCATTTTTCTTCAGAGACTTGGCTGCTATCGGGGCAAGGAGAGGCGTATTTGCTATTCCTTTTCTGTTCAAACACAATGAAAATAGTTTGGCAACGAACCAGACCCATGGCTCTTCAGGACAACCAGATATAAAGCCCCAATAAAAAAAAGGTGTCTGATCACGATACAATCCTGCAGCTTTAACTCCTCGGAATATGGTAATCGGTACACTTGTGTTATTGTCAATATACTCAAAATATCTTTATTTCATTAAAAAATAATAATTGAATTCGTCTTTTATGTAGATTCTAAAGTCATAGACTTAACTTAACACACACGATAGCAACAATGTCTATTTTGTCAATTTTGCAAATATATACGTATCGAAAATCTCTTATATACCTGTGTCGATCTACAACCGCCCATTTCATTTCTAAGGGGTTGAGCCTCATGAGAAGAAAGGGCAAATACCCTCTCGGTCACTCTTTTTTAATTAACAGATACACACAATGGCATAATTAAATATACACAACACTGTTTTTATGTGTGCCAGTATGTAAGTTTTAAGGAGTAAAAGGTAAAAAAGCAATGAAGAGAAAGCAAGATATAGAAAAAAGATGGAATAAAAAAGAAACTGAAGTAAAACATTAAATAATTGAAAATTAAATAAAGACACTAGCCCACATCACATTTTCACTACGAAATAGCCTGTGCTAAATTTCCCAAGCATTCTTGTCTTCTATGTAATCCACAATTGAGTAATAGACTTTCTGACATACGAGGGCGGGTCAATAAGTCCATGACTTTTTGAATTTCTGACCTCTTTACTGAAAAAGCAACACTACTCCTGTCAACAGGCATCTGTCAGTTGACTCCTGTCAAAATTTGAACTTGCTGCGTCAGTTAGTTTGTGTTTGACAGCTATCTTTATCAGACTACCCAGTAATTTGAGGAAAAAATGGAAAAAAGTGAATTTCGTGTGCTTTTTAAGCATTATTTTTTGCGAAAAAAAAACCATTACCGAGACCAAGGCTAAGCTTGATAAATACTATGGGGACTCTGCACCATCGATTTCAATGGTAAAAAAGTGGTTTACTGAATTTCGTTGTGGCCGTACAAGCACTGAAGATGCCGAACGTCCTGGACGCCCAGTTGAGGTCTCTTCACCCGAAACAATCGAAAAAATTCACGATATGGTGTTGGCCGACCGAAGATTGAAAGTGCAAGAGATTGTGGAAGCCGTAGGGATCTCGCATGGCTCAGTGGTTTCAATTTTGAATGATCACTTGGGCATGAGAAAGCTTTCCGCAAGATGGGTGCCGCGATTGCTCACAGTCGACCACAAACGCAATCGTGTAACAACTTCACAGGAAGGTTTGGCGTTGTTTAATCGCGATATGGAGGAGTTTTTGCGCCGTTTTGTAACCGTGCACGAAACATGGATCCATCACAACACACCAGAGACCAAACAACAGTCAAAACAGTGGGTTTCTAGGGGTGAATCGGCGCCAAAGAAGGTCAAGGTGGGTTTGTCAGCCAATAAAGTTATGGCGACTGTCTTTTGGGATGCACGCGGGATAATCCACATTGACTACCTTTAAAAGGGAAGAACAATCAATGGGGAATATTATGCCAACTTATTGGACCGATTCAATGACGATTTGAAAAAAAACCGACCTCATTTGGCCAAGAAAAAAGTTCTTTACCACCAAGACAATGCAAGGGTGCACACATGTGCAGTTGCCATGGCAAAAATCCATGAATTGGGCTATGAATTGCTCCCTCATCCGCCCTATTCTCCAGATTTGGCTCCGAGTGACTACTTCTTGTTCCCAAACCTGAAGAAATGGCTTGGTGGAAAAATATTTGACTCCAATGATGAAGTCATCTCGCAAACAAAGGCCTATTTTGAGGACCTCGACAAATCATATTTTTTGGAAGGGATAAAAAAATTGGAGAAGCGTTGGACAAAGTGTATAGAGCTCAAGGGAGACTACGTTGAAAAATAAAATGATTTATTTATCAAAAAATCTGTGTTTTATTCCAAAAGTCACGGACTTATTGACCCGCCCTCGTAGCTTACGTTTTATTGTAGATTATAAGAATTAGACACATTGACCTCGAAATGACTTGTTTATCTTTTGGAGCCTAGAGGCAGGTACAACAAGTTTATTTCTATTTCTGGTATTTAAAGCATGTACATGACTTCATTTCAAGAAGCTGTGTTTTTATGAACATATATTACATTTTCATATAAATATATTGACTTGCCACTGTCATTATGTTTATTTCTTTAAAATTCTGCCTCAATGAACAACGATTGCCTAAATCATAAATTGCTCGAATCGCTCTCTTTTGCAGCACAAAAATAGTTTGAATGGCGACAGCATTCCCCACAGTAGAAAACCGCACGACATTATCCTATGAAAATAACTGAAGTAAACAAGTCGTGCTGTATCAATATCAGTCAATTCTCGAATTTTTCTAACTGCGTATGCTGCTGAGCTGAGTCTACTCGATAATTTATCTAAATGTGGGCCCCACTGTAGCTTAGAATCTAATGTTATTCCTAAAAAAAAACTTTGTATCCACCAGGTTTAGCTCAACATCTTCAATCATCACAGTGGTTTTCACTGGCTTGACGTTTGGCGTGGTGAACCATATACACTTAGTTTTTTCGTCATTCAAAAGCAAATTGTTAACGTCAAACCAATGAACCACTTTTTCGAAATAGCGCTGTTTACATCTGTGAAATTAGTAAGTGTGCGTTTGAGTCTAAATTATAGTGATGTATCATCTGCAAACAACACAATCTCATGATTGTCCTTGACAAGGTGACAAATTCTTACCAGACAGAATAGTGTATTAAACGTATGCAGGTTAAAGAGGTAATGTTTTCTACTTAGGATATAAGGCTAAAGGCGATCACTCACAACGAAGTTACAGGGGTTAGCTGCCATAGCAATGTACACATCGAAGCACTTGCCGGGGGCTGGCAGCGCCGGCGGCGGTAGCGAGGCCCCGCTCGAAGGCTTGTCGTCGCCCAACATTGATCGATTGGGGAATATTCGCTCCTTCTTCTTGTGCAGGGCCTCCACATGATTTGTTTCATCCTTTTCTTCCTCTTTTGGTTTACCACTAAAAAAAATATACAGAATGAACTATCCATTATTGTACTGAGCACAACTGCGCTCGACCACAAACGCACGGTCGCTCTCTTTCAGCAATAGAGAAGCGATGAAATTTTTTATGCTTTTTTTGTTTTTTTTTGCGATGCTTTTCATAAATAAAGATCTTTTGTACATTGTTATCGTAAAATATTGTAAGAAACATTCACACTGACAGACAAACTGTCTAAACGAGTTAATGTTTAAAGTCACCTTTCTCTAATAACTCATGACGGGCCTGTTGGTCTAGTAGTTAGTGACCCTGACTGCTAAGCCAGAGGTCGTGGGTTTGTTTCCCACCCAGGACAAATAATGTGTGATGAGCATGATAATTTGTTCTGTGTCTGGGTGTAATTTATCTATAAAATAAATGTATTTAAAAATATATAAGTACGTGTATCAGCAGTCTGGTTACCATAGCACAGGCTCTGCCTAGCTTGGGATCAGACGGCCGTGTGTGAGATGTGTGAGGTGTATTATATAATTATATTAAATTAAAGGTAATCCATCCTCACTCTATTAAACATTAATCAACCTATTTTTAAACAGATCCCGTGAATAGACCTTTCTGTAAAACCGTGTATGTACCGCTAGAGCGACGTTCAATCGTCAATTTATAAAAGATAAATGAATTAATAAAGATATTAAAAGTAGCGTACTGTTGCAAGTAATCGTACTCCAAGAGGATAGCGTTATTGACGGAGGCGAGTATGTCTTGCGGGCCCGTGCGCACGAACAGCTCGACGTGCGGCGCGGCGGGCGGCGTGGGCGACGCGGGCATCGCGCGGCACAGCACGTGCGTGTTCAGCACCAGCTCGCGTAGGCGGCCCACCATTGCGCTCGCCACGCGCTCCGCCGGCCCGAGCCGCACCGATATAGCCTATAATTGCATCGGGAATAACCGACGATCAAAGTTTCTTTATACTGTGATTAACGCTCCCGACCCGTGTTCCAATTGCTATGTCCAACTGGTTGTACGGGTAAGTAGAGCCATGAGGATGAAAATGGTCCAACTGAGTAAATATTTTTTCTGCAATTTATTGTTATGACCCGTGGTATAATTGAAGGGCTATTATTGTCCGACTGGTGTAGAACAAATGCTTTGTCCAACTGGTTGTACCACGGGTAAGTAAAACTATCCATGACCATACTACAAACAAATGAAGTTCAGAAAAAACAAATGAAGATTGGTAAAAACAAATGAAGATCATGCAAAAAAGTATATAAGTGTCTTCTTCAGTACAAGCTCTGCTTAGTTTGAAATTAGATGGCGTTGTGTGTCATATGTCCCAAAATATTATTATTCTATAATATGTGCTGTGTAAACAAATAAATTAAATAAAGAACGCATTTTGCATGGGGGTTGGTCAGGCTAAGGAAAGGAAAATCAAATATTAAGGTAGGTAATCTTTCTAGTTTGGTATCAAGATCAAGTTTTAGGCTACTGTTCTGCGCTAAATTAATATTATTACGTTACTTACTAGCTTCAACAATAACAAACTTTGATAATCCACTGGATATAGGCTTCTCCTTAGAAAATAAGTTTTGGCCTTATTAGCTTACTTGAGCTGAATTACATTTTCTTACTCACAATACATTCAAAACACGTAACTGATTAGTGTACCTGAGTTAAATAGCATTTGTTTACTCACCTGATGTGGAAAGGCGTTGAGCGCTGGCGAGAAAGTTTGTAACGGCACTAAAGATGATAAAGGCGCGCGCAAAATAAGACCGCTGTCCACGAGCTGCGTCCTCACGGTGCCCTCGCCGTCGAGTCCGCTTATAATTGTACAGCGAACCCTGCAGAATTTATAAAGGGTGTAAGGGACGTCGTAACGAATACTGAAATAGTGTATTCAGACCATCATTTTGAGTCGAAAATCATTGGAATTTTCTGCCGGAAAATTAAACGGAAAAATATTTTTTTCATGCAATCAGCTGTCAAAAGTTAAGGTTATATGGTTATATGTATTCCGTGCAAACAGTCTACACATACTAACACAAGATGGAGGCCGGGGGCAAGCCCCGGGCGTTAGATTTATTACAATGCAGTTTTTGACCGTACGCGGTATTTATTCAATTCGTTTGGGTAAAATGTTCTGTTTACTGATTGTGATGTCATTTTTAACCAAAAATATGGAAAATTAAAAGAAATTGATAAATTTTCCGGCAGAGAACATATAGTGCATGGTGATACTTTGATTCCTGAGAAAGGACATAGGCTACTTTTTACCGTGATAAGCGACATACAGGCTCCACGCCACTGGCAAAAGCTACTGATATATAATTTAGTGTCTACACACATGATACAGTGTGGTCGCAACTGATAGAAGACTTGTTGGAAAGCATCGGTAAGTATGAGTTATAGTGTAGAATCGTGAGGCAAATATAAAGAACTAGTTTTTGCCTGCGGTATTTTGGTTATCACGCTAATTATTCTTTGTCATTTCTCAAGAATCAAACTATCTACATACCGAATTTCATCTGAATCGGTTAACCGCTCGATTTCTCATATAAAAACTATCCTATGTCCTTTCCACGGGCCTCAAACTATCTCTTAGCTTAATTTCATCAAAATCGTTACTTCGTACAGAAGTAACTGACAGACATTTATAGTGTGAGTATGGGTAGTGTGTAAGTACGCACCAGTCACCGGCGATCGTGCGCACGATGTAGAGCGTGCCGGCGTTGGGCGAGGGAGCCTGCGGCGCGGCGGGCAGCGGGCGGCGGTAGGGGCCGGCCGTGAGCAGCGCCAGCGCGCCGCGCACCAGCGCCGCGCCGCCAGCGCGCGACACCCACACGCGCCCCTCCTCCGTTACGCACCCCACCTCCACCTCGCACGGTTTCTGACCACACACGCTATACATCACTACGTTCGTTCATTGTTCAAACCTTCTCGGTTCGTTCCATTAATAGTACAAAGTAAAACAGTACATGCAGTTGAAGCCGCACCGGCACGGCTAGTATGTTTTAATGAGAAGTTAAATATTATGTTTAAATTTTATATAGTTATACCTGAGTGACTGTAAAAGTCCCAGCGATGCAAAAGTCATGCACGATTTCCTTGTTGAGATTGAGATCTCGTTGCGTAGAGGTGTCGAAAAGTACGACAGCTACCGAAGGATCGGATGGGTCGTGACGCGGGCCCGGCGCCGCCACTAGCACCCCGCCGGGTAAGCGCCGGTGCACCAGATCCGCTCCCAGCGTGCTCGCCGCTAGCTCCTCCGCGCCCTCTAGTCGACACAGAATCGCCTGCACACAACAATTCTATATGCAATAGCGAAATCTAATATTCCTAAAGAATCGCACGTATTAGGCCAAACCAGTATGTTATGTAATTTTTATAACAAGTCTTTATTTTTAGAAACTATCATACTTTATTAAGACGGCTGAAGATTTAATTAAGAGAATCTGATTTTATGAAAAGTAAAACTTACCTGCGCTGGTATTTTCCTAAACTGTGGCTCCAAAATTTTTATATTTTGTATTGACACCACATCATCATCACCATGATCACCGAGAAATACAGTTGCAGTGTCGTCATCGATTTCTAGAATTTTAGCACGTTGCCATCCGCCATCGTCTAAATTAACAGCATACCTGACAAATATAGTTCAATTATGAAATATGTAACTAACACACAAGTCAAATTATAATTGTATAAAAAATTAAGAGCGACTTACCAAGCATTTTTAATTAACATAGATTTATCTACAGGTGTACCAGAGTATTCGTAATATTGGGCCATATCTGCTAATAGAGCTTCAAAGGCATCCTACGAGAAAGGAAGTTTTTATAAACAAGAGACATTTGAAACATGAGATCACTCTCAACTTAACGCAACTTAGACACTCACGACGCATAATTTTTGCAAAACAAACACCAAAATATAATAAACAAATAACTGAATGCCAGTTTTTTTCAGTATCTTCTAATCAGCCATCTATGTCCAGCAAAGTATGGGGTCTACCAATAAGAACGTCCTGGTTTAAAAATTTTTTATGAAAAATGTATGCGATTGATTTATTTGATAGATAATTTTATGCAATTTATGTTTTAAATAATATATCGGCCAAATGACCGCCGCGGCTCTTTTTGCAGACGGTCACCCGCTCACGCCAATTTTCGATGACGCGGTGCACCATTTCGGCCGGTATGTCTGCTATGGCTTGTCGAATGTTGGTTTTTAGGTCACGAATTGTAGTTGGATTATTGCTGTACACATTAAATTTAACGTAATCCCAAAGAAAATAGTCTAAAGGTGTTAAATCACACGATCTTGGTGGCCAACTGATCGGTCCATTTGTCGAAATTAACGACTCACCAAACTTTCCACGCAAAAATTCCATGTTCACTCGAGTAATGTGATGTGGTGCACCGTCTTGTTGAAAATAAAGGTCGTCTGCATCAATATCATCAAATTCCTTAAAGAAATATTCAGTTTTGTGCGAAGCGCTCTTACTGTAGCGGTAGGAGAACGCGAATTTGCTTAATAATTTTGGACAATTTCCAAGCGTTGGTTTAAAGTGAAACGTGACATGATAAAATGGCAAACCTTACTGAACACAAATGTCAAGAGACGTCAAAGATCTATCATCAAACATGGCCGCTATGAGCTGTCAAAACCAGGTCATTCTTATTGGTAGACCCAGTATTACCTTGATAAAAAAAATCGGATTCTGCTCCATCTACAAACAGTTAAGAAGTGATATTGACTTTAACTGACTGAGATTTTAAACGCAGTGGCAGGGACATAAAATTTACTTAGGATCAAGTCACCGTAATTCGGCGGTTGCCTCCGAAAACCGCAAAAAGTCCATAAAAACATTTCAGCCCATTCTAAACTGAAATTAAGTGAGATACCAGAGAAATCGCAGATGTCAAAATATTCACTACTTTTGCATTTAATTTTAGCATTTTACTGGCATAGTTTTTTAGAGTACCATTGACAACATGCCAAATAGGCTTGTGTCCACTAATAACAAATTGTTGGTTTATGGTTTCATATTATAAAAGAAGAGACATAGATAAGAAAAAACCAGTCTATTTCTCATAAAAGTTAAAGATTTTTTTTTCTAAATAAATTCGAACAAAATAGGCATTAAGTCACGTGACAGGGAACACCAATCAGAAAGTGTTACGTCACGCCAAGCAAAACATTATTGTTTTTGTTGACGTTTTCATACAACAGAGCAGGTTACTCCTTATTGTTTTTCGTTTTTAGCATATTTTCTCCTTAATACAGTTTTGTTTCGCAGACTGTGACGTCATTCAAGACGCCATGACACTATTCAGCATTTTCAATGGAAATTTAAACTGTTTTTTTTTAAATACAAAATACGTAATTAATGTAAATATTGCTTTTTCTTAAAAATATAGGTTTTTTTGGGATAACATAGATATTAAAGTATATAAATAACCAAGTCTTCAAATTGAGCCAACTAGCCTATTTCATGAATACTTGTTGAGTACCGTTTCATTGTTCAAAGTAAATGACGTGAATTGAATACGTAATGAAAAAAAAAATTAGCTAATTTCATCATTTATAACATACTTTATTCTTGAATATGTGACGGTTAGTTGACAATCTTGGTTTTAGAAAACAGCGGACTAGTAATAGTAGAACTGATTGAACTAAATGAAAGTTTAAGGAGGTCACAGGTGTAAATTATTTGATGAGCAAAAGTGTATGTGGCAAAGGTGTCTTACAATTCTTATGAATTTAAATAAACATTCAGGACTGTAGCTTTGAAGGGATAAAAATAAATTTAATAATAATAATAGCAGACAAACAAGTTTGTAGTTTACCGGCGTGTACACGACTAAATCTAACCAAAAAACCTATCTCTCTACTCACTACTTAAACACTGCATTTTTTCTCTCTATCTACTTTATTTAGACTAACTTGGTTTGCATATCACAATAAAACTAAATTAAGTAAAAAAATATTGCACTCCAAACGGTGGTGAAACACAATTAAATATCTGTGTTCTATAATGTATTTGAAAATATGAATACTTACACTAAATTCTGTACCTATAATTCTAAGCCAAATTTCAAGTGTTGAGTTCGCGACTGTTACAAAAACGTTCCAAAAGTCATCGTCAGGAAATTGCAAAGGTGGTAAATCGGTATCCATTGCGTCATCTATGATCGTTGTTTCCAATGGTGCGTCCTGCTAAATAAGAAAATGTACTTATTTAAATAGATAGATAAGTAGGGTTCCTTTTACTTTTATTTAAAAAAAAACACTAAATCTCTAACAGAATATGACAAAAATTAAAAAAAAATGTATATTGTCAGTTTAAAGTTTTACTAACAATTATTTTTTGTTAGTTTCAGTGGAAACCACATATTGTTAAATTATAGAAAAGAATTAGCTCAGAAAAATCACAATTAGTTTATTCCAGAAAACTTGTTAAAATCGGGGGATTGGAACGAAAGAATTGTTTAAGACCGTTTTTTACTTCAGTCGAGCCAGCCTATATGTGTCGAAGCAGAAGTAGGACAGCCAAATTAAACTATTTTGGTTATTTTCATAGTAGCTAAATACATAATAATAAAGTCATATTGTATTCTATGGTGGAATGGCAACGATATTCAATATCTGTCTTATAGCTTAACCAAGATTCAGTGAAGTAACACAGATTTACGAAACTTGCTGACTAGTCACAACGAGCACCAGTAGAACTACTGTTATTCAGACAAACAATTCTCTCCTTACCTTTTATAATTAAGAACTTACCTCTTTATTAGAAAGTAAAACTAAATGTCCATTAAAAACCCGATCTTTTATTATTTTTGGACAGTTTTCCACTAATTCTTGCCAATTGCTTGGTAAATTTTCACCATATTTTTCTCTGAGTATGAAAAAAAGAAATGTATTACTTATATCATAAAATAAAGCTTTGAATCGCTTTGGTTAGCATGTCGTTAAGTATTACCTGTATAAATGTGGCACTGTATTTGCCCAAAGCCCAGCTTCATGTTCAGAAACCAGTTCAGCAAGATAAGCTATGGCATTGCTACTTGATGAAGTAGGTACATTGCCAGATTCTGAACTCTCAATTTTCGAAAGTAACTTTACTGCGGCTACCTCTTTACACAACTCATCGGATGGCGATGAATCCGGGTACGATGATGCTGAATACGACCCTACCTAAAATATACTTTAATAAATTAATCATATTCCCAAATATCTCTTTTAGTAGTTAGACGATATTCTAATTGTTTCGTTAATTTCTCGATCTCTTAGTTAATAACTCTCCATATTAATAATATTAATATAGTATCCCCAGATATTGTCCAGTCATAGGGAGGTTTGGTATACTACAAGGGTAAATCTGTTCTGTTACTGGATCAAGACGGTGGATAAAGTTAGATAAATGTAATACTTGCTTTAACTGTGCAGTCGTAGGTGACAGCTCCATGTTTAGGTTTAAGATCATGCACTTTATATACAGGCTCAGGTAAACCCAACTTTTTGCAATACCACTCTAACTTGATTACGCTTGATGTAGAATCTGGTGGTGGTTCTAAAGTAAGAGCTAGTACAACATTTGTTACTGGACCACTGCTTTCCTATAAAATAACATGAATAATAAGACTGCTAAACTCAAATCAATATTTATTATTATTTATTCTACTCACCAGACATTCGTTATTAGAAGACGGAAATTGTAATGGTATTAAGTCTACTGTATTAAGGCGTTCTCTCAAATTAGAGAGCCTCTGTGATGCTGACACTTTAGTACTATGTTTTACGTCGCTTTCGCTATTTGCGCGCATGGGAAGCTTGAACTGTAAGGACAAAACTTTGTTATAAAATTACACCGACTAGAATCACAATATTATCACGACAAACATATGTTCGCATTATTCTAGTTTAATATTTCAAGAAAGATGAATATCAGGAAATAAAAGAAAATCCGATTTTCACCTGTAAATCTCGACCGAAATGTATTGTCCCTAGAAGTTACTAGTGAACATCATTTCACTATTATGTTTCAGTTCGGTTTCGGCTCTGGTAACCTTACTTACTTGGTAAATAGCAACGAAATAATCTTAATGCTTTATACAAGTTTTCTGTTAGGCCTTGGTGGTCGAGCCCGCCCTTATATGCTACAGCATGGCCCTCTATCGTTAAAATTATGTACTTTATTTTGGAGAGAAGTTTTCTTAATATTTTGAGTTTATTATTCTGTGTCTCATGACAAGCACACGACTATAAATTTAAATACCAATACATATCTTACCTCTTCGGAATGTACATTAGTTTCCCTCACGATCTGTGTCAACTGGTTGCTGCCTCTTGATGCTTTTTCTACATTGTCATTAATGGACTTCGTTGTTTGCTTAGCGTTCGTGTAACTTATTTTCGTTTCGTTCGACTTTTGATTATATTTGTTATTCTGTTGAAATATAGGAAATACAATGTATTATGAGTAAATCGTTCATTCCTCTAAATTTAAAATGTTAAGTAGACAATGTCAAGTGTTTATTTATTTATTTTACTTAATGGGACATTAAACAGTTACAACGTTGGGTAATAACTAGTTTAGTTAGAGTAAATAATCTGTTGAGTGAACGTGCAACCTAGACCAATGTCCACCAAATAAAATTTGAAGGAACGAAGTGTAAGTCGTGGGTTTTATTTATATATATATCATTATAATTTAATCAAGTTAGTAAGTGAGGAACTATGGGCCCTATTGGGGATAATGATGGTGATCATGTGATCATGTGATGATGGGATCAGTGTTGGTGCAAAATGATAGAAACCAAGCGGATATTTGGCTTGCCATATTTGAACAACAAAAACCAGAACTTCTGAGCGCTGATCGAAGCCCTACAAGCGCCTAAGCCAATCTACCGTCAAAATATACCTACGCTCGACTCTGACAAGAAAGATACTAATGCGAGGGCGTGGTGCGCAACCGCCGATTTGTGTTTTGCCTAGAATCCACCAAGTGGCTGTCAACTTGTACTAGCCGTCAGCAAGGCGCTCAAAGGTGAAGCATCGACGTGGCTATCTCAAATAGCATACGAAGGAATGACATGGAGTGAATTTAAGGTACTTTTTACTACCAGGTTTATTTCGACGGAAACATGGGCGGGTACCCTCATAAAATTAAATGGAGAAAAACGAAAAAGAGTCGCTTCCCGCATATGCAAGTCGGTTAATAGCTTCTTTGACGAATCGTTGGAAGGATGTAACCAAAGAAGAGATCGCCTTAGCTACCGTACTGACTCATACGTCGCAGTTTGACCCGCGACTTCAACGCTTGGCATTTACCACAAACATCGTTTCGCGAGAACAGCTGCAGCGAGAATTGAACGCATTCTCGCAATTAAAGCGCAAGATAAATCACACAGGAGAATCATCGATTGCTCACGATGTCAAACGAGTGAGGTCGGCCTTTGTAAAGTGCTTCAACTGTGGCAAGACTGGTCACAAGCGAGCGGATTGTAGAAACAAGACGAACAAACGACGTTAGAGGATGAGCTACAATGCCGAGCCCAGTAGTCCAGCAGCCAGTACCAAGGCCTTTGGTGTGCTTTAAATGTGGAAAACCAGGTCATATTGCTGTCCCGTGTAAAAGTGGCGGTCGGGCGGACGACGGCAGCCGAGTCGAACGACGCGTTGATGTCTGCGTCTTGCAACCACCGTCGGGCACGTTACAACATAAAGGTGTACTGATTTGTTTTACTTACGATTCTGGCGCTGAATGTTCGTTAGTTTAAAGGGCGTTTTAAAGTTGTAGAAGTATTGGATGGTGACCGTTACACACTAAGAGCTCTGAATTCGAAACGAACTTACAAATAGGAAAATGCCAGCAAGTCACGTACCAGTCGAGATTGATGCAGAATCTGATAAGAACGAATTGTAACCCTAAGTGGAGGTGGAAACTCGAGTAAGGGAACTCTAGAGGTCATAGTAAGTTCGACCCTACCAGTAGTTATTTCGTAGTCGTAGCCCGATATAAAACGGTGTCTCTTGAGGCAACTTAAGTAGTCCGTGGGTGCGCGGTGTGCGTTTAACTCTGGCGGAGGTTGGGGTCTGCAGAGACCATACGTGTGGGCAGTGGGTGACACACGGGCGATCCATTAGATGGATCTGGAAGATTTTGTGAGAACAATGTGATTGCTATTAGGCTGGAAAGCCAGGGCGTTAGATGCCTTACTCGAGTGTTTCTGTAAAGTTTTCTGTAAGCTTTAACTGCGTAGTTTTGAAACTTGATACGAATGACTGTGGTACGAGGCTCTGACCGTTGTCTAGTTATTTTTGTATCCTCTATTGCTTGTTTTAGTTTAGTTTGATTATAATTAAAGACAGAGTAAAGTTTTAATGGGTTTACTTAGCCCATAAAATGTAAAGTGTGGTCAGGCATGACCAAGCAGAACAAGTATTTTTTTGGATGTTTTGTTGCAGATTAACCGGCACACGAGGACGTGTGCAAACAGGATGGCCGTGTCGCAATTACGTCATATCCGAAACGCCAGCGCCATCTGTCGGCGCTGGACGGAGTCAATGTTTATAGGCCGAACGGCGTACAGGCAGACTTGTTGTATGGCAGTCGGACAGAGCGGCCGCATATTGAAACTGTCACGCGTTCCTGGCGATATACGTATCTAGCTATAGTCGCTAATAATATAAATAATCTACATTGTGAATTCTATGGACATTATACTTTAATCAAGTGAACTAAATCGTTTCGTTGCGTCAACATTACCCCCCGCCCGCAGTTAGTAAGTGAGGAATTATGGGTATTGAGGACAATGATCGTACTACCCCGTCATATATATATATATATATATATATATATATTTAATTTCATATAAATTATGGAAGTTAAAGCCTAATGCGAAGATTTAAAAATTTCAGTTGCTGTAATTTTGAATTTTGTTTGCGACCGTGCGAAAATGACAAAATTGGCAAGGCGTGTGTTGTACGTTTCCACAATGTGACGGAGAGGAGCCAGTAGCCAGAGTATTATATAGGAGTAGTAAAGTAGACGGGCGCTAGAAATCTTTGGAAAATCTCATATCAAAGCCATACATTTGAAAGATTTACTAATAATATTGTGTATATGTAGATCTAGATGTAGTTTTGAGTCAATGTTGACACCAAAGTCACGAATGTAGTTAACCTTTTGTAAAGCAATGTCGTGTAAAGTGTAATTGTGTATTAAGATTTTCTTCTTCTTTGTGTAAGTTATTACTTTACATTTGGGGATGCTGAGGTGTAGTTTATTGCGAGAACAATATAGTGAAAGTTGGTTTAGGTCGTCCTGTAAAAGTAAGCAGTCTAGTAGGCTATAGCACTCCTTGTAAATTTTGATATCAGTATACAATAAAAAGTGTGAGTTAGTAAGACAATGTCCAATATCATTGACAAACAGAATAAGATAGGAGAGGGCCCAGAATTGATCCCAGGGGCACCCCGGAAGTGACGGTTATAGTCAGATTCGAAGCCATTGATTATTAGTTTTTGAGTCCTATTAAAAATGGAGAATATGAACCAGCGTAGTAAGTTGCCACGTAATACCATTTAAGGGTATTTTATCTAGAGCGCAATTTGTGATCTGCCTTGTCAAAACGTTAAGTGTTAAGCCATAATTTATTATACACGGTGATTTTGAAAGCGTTTTGGAAAAGAAAATTTTGAGTTATTTATCAGTAACAGAAGCTATATATAACGTTAATTTAATAAAATATATATATATTTTTTATCATCAAAGTCGATATTCATATCGATTACAGAGAAAAGGTGAGAACCAGTAGTAGGGCTTTTCAATCGCAAGTAGGTAAATACTACGAATAGAAATGCTATACTCACGCGCAAGGTCAAGGACGTTTAAATTATTATTCGCCGGAGCGTAGTGCGTGCATACCTGGACAATGAGTTTAGTGATCGGTGGATAGGTCGAGGAGGGCCAGTGCCTTGGCCACCTAGAAGCCCGGACTTAACGCCCCTGGATTTTTTCTTATGGTCGGAAATAAAAATACTTGTTTATACACGGGAATATGAAAGCCGTGATAATTTACGCATTGCGATAGTGGACGCTTTTGATAAAGTGAAAAGTGATAGACACATTAAGAAAATTAAAAAACAATTGCATTAAACGTGGACGTTTGTGTATTGAATGCAGCGGACTCCATTTTGAGCAGTTGCTTCGATACAGAGAAGTGTAAATAGTGTAAATAGGTATGTAAGATAATTATTCTGTAGATAGCTCCGATTTTTTAAATACGCTTGAAATATTTATACCTACAGTCCGTTGATAAATTGATTTGTTGTGAAAAGAACAATCGTGGTTAATAATCGAAAAGAAGTTTAAAAAAATTAGGTATTTACGACGGTCCTAAGCCCGTGTAAAGTATGAAGGACAAACTGGAGTCTATCTACGTAAGTACTCGCTAGCTCGCGCCTATAGGTATACTTTTATCAGCTGCTGTTAGCGTCAGCGGTGCGCAGCGGCCGCCGAAACGCCCACGGACGTGTTTCATTCATATAAGATAATGAATGAATGATCAGTCCATTACTACTTTCCAAGTAGATTGAGTAAAAATGAATATTAAAACTGAAACTTTTTTTTAGACAACATTACAATTGATTTAATCATTTTTATTGGTACTATAGATGATTCCAAATTAAAATGTTTCGTTTCCAAAACGCCTAAAAAATCACCGTGTATATGAACAGATGCAACAAAAATACCTTATGGTAATTGTAGTTGTTGCTGTAGGGAGTATTGCCTTTCGGTCTGTAAAGTTGACTTGAATATGAATTGTTGTAATTGGATGTGTAGCCTGAAGCTTTTCGCCATGATCCTTGTTTTTTTGGAAATCGATTCTGTAAAGATTAACAAAATTGAGTACATAGATCTACGCGTACATAATCATAAGTTACGCAGGACTAAATGTGACATATTTTAAAGATAGCACGCAAAATGGGACTCAATACTCTCTCATCCTTTTTAAACAAGTGACAATGTCATCTTAAATGTTCTTCTAAAGGTTTTGTACGAAATTCTAACTAATATTTTGAACGAATTTCTCTATGTTGGCTCTTTTTATAGGTAAGACGACTAATAGTAAGTCTCCTAACACATAAAATGGGCCTTAGTAATTATAATTTACTCTTGAACTAACAGAGCCAAATGACCTGTGATACTTTTCTTTTCAAATCCATTTTATACCATATTGTCAGGTTTTTTAAATTTTTCTGGGTAACAGTTTACCTGAACTCGTCATCGTCGTCGAGCTGCCTTCTCATACCTATGAGAAGGCAGCTCGACGAAGGGAGCTAAGAAACCATATTAAGAACTGAACATTGTTTACCTAGACATAATATTAATAAAAACCTGGTTGTTATTTTATGTTACTGCAAAACGTTTACTATTGTAAATAGCATTAAACGAATTAGCATAATAACCCCAAAATACATTGAAAATAAAATATCGTGACCAAAGAAAATACTTAACTTCTTTTCAGTGATGACTACCAATTGACCCGATTATCAAGTTTTTGTATCTAAAAATTATTTCTATAATATACAGTATAACTACTATTACTTTCTAAAACAAAGGTCACTTATTAAAATAGAAAGTAGGTCATTTGGCCAAAAAGATTGCATAACTAATTAAAACATCATTTGTATTGTTAACTTCAAAAAATGACGAAAATAAATATCTTTTGTAAAGTTATTTTAGTTAAATAGATTTGTCTCAATTATGCAACTTCAAACTTTCATTCTCTATTTTGGCCAAGAGTAGAAAATTAAAAAAATATGCATCAATGTGGAGATGTAACTAACCTAGATTAAAATTATAAAATTTATTAATAATATTTGGTAAAGACAAAGCTTCCCTAAAGCCAGTAATGTGTGCCCTAGTATGTAGACAATATTACTCTTATAGTAAACATTAATTTAAGATTAACATTACAACAACACTTTCAGTTAGTAAATAAGAAGAATTCTTACAGGGCCATTTAGTTTTGGTGTTGCCTTTTTATTTGATTTTTGACGAGATACCATAGTAGCTATATGTTGTGTCTCCTGGCTTGCAATAGCATCGACATACCATTCCCCGCCATTCTGACTCACTTTGAAGCCAGGTACATCTAAGAAGAGTTTATCTAATGATGAATAGCCTAGCTTTTTGAAAGGTATCCACTCGCCTTGGAGCTCCCTGTAGTCACCTATATACACAAAAGAAAGCTTAGTTAAATTATGGTTAAGTATAATTTAAGTATAAATTAAAAAAAAAAAAGTGTTTGGATTTGTTAGAAAGGCTGTTATAACACTTGGCACAATGAAATAATTATGTAAGAGTTCAATAAACTACACATATTCTCTACTTTGAAGTACGAAAACTATTTTGTGCAGACCTCTATTTGGTCAAACTATTACTCTGACCTACAACAATTAGATAAAGCATTTCAGGGTTTTAAATGAGGAAACTAATGATTTTAAAATTTCCTATATCAATAGTTTACATATACAATATCTAAGGTATCAAATGATTTTAATTAGTAAACTTAAAATATTGTAATCCAACTTTTTTAAGAAAAACGAGTTCGGTATAATTAAATATATTTTGAAAAAAATTACTAATTTGAAAAAAGACAGGAAAAGTATGAATTGTCAAAAAAAAACAAATGTTTACTAGTTGCAAAAAATAAACAAATTTAAATTGAGTTTCAAATAAAGAAAGAAGTATTATACCTTTAAATTGATGACCTAGGTCCCGTTTATGAAATAGATGGTTCACATACTTTATTAAACTGTTTACTATACCTGATTGTTTAACCACAATAATTAATTATAAATATATTGTACATTTAAATTATTCAAAATTAATCAAAAAATCTTAAAGTTAAACTTACGGTTACACTGCTTTATGGTTAAAGCTCCTTTGACAGATATAAGGGTAGCTCTCAATGCCTGGATGACCTGTTCTTTCTCAGCCATGTTGTGCGACTATATGTGGAAAAATAAATTTTGTTAATTCATGCAGCACAGTAAAAAGTATGAAAAATAATTAGTGATGATTACTTCTATAATTACTTATTGAACATGAAAGTGATATAAACTTTGTTCCCATATTCAAATAATTACATATGACACTGGCTCCTTTAGCCGACTCTTATGACACCCATTAGATGAATAGGGTGGTGACACTCTATATTCTTTATCTGTCACTACACAGACCAGAGAACATAATATTAGTTATCTATTAACAAGTGTAGTAAAATATAGTTAAATACATTATTATTATATATCTAACCTCAATGAACCTAAATGTAAATGGCAATAAGCTGTAGCTGTACATACATAGAATAAAAAAATAACAGCTACAAATTGAGACTATCTAGTTATGAATGTTAATATATTGTTTATAAAAATCTGAAGTGTATATGAGTAGATGATGTAAACCTTTTGATAAGTACTAATCTTGATCTTATCATGATTACTAAAAAATTCAACAAAACAACATAGTTTTGTTTACCTGACCTGAATTATTATATTAAAGGTAGATTCACATTATGCACATAAACCAGAGCTAATTGATAAAATTTTAAAAGAAATTGTTTTTAAACATGCTTTAGCAGGCATTCTCTTTTACTTATACATGACTCATTCATATGTACAGCCAAATATAAATTAATAAATTTCACTTTTACCATTTCATTGGTTTATATCCTACAATTAATAAAGTCACAAACTTTATTAATTTTTCTATAATCATCCATAAATATAGAAAAACAAGTCCTTTATACCCCTTTTGTAGCAAATTTTGCACATAGATAAATATGAATGATGACAGAAAGCTATAATGAAAAAAAAACAAAATTTGTTTATTATCTATTATATGATTCAGCTCCATCAAGTTACACATGCCCAAATTATGAGATAGTGCTCAAAGCCTGTAATATAATAAGTCTGGTGCTCTCAATCAATGATAAACATTTATTCCTGTGCTGTTCTTAGAGTATAACACTTTATCACACACAATCTAAGGTAAAATGTTTTTCATAAGAACTAGATTGTTGACCTGTATTAAAAGGCATAATAATGCCTATTTGAGTGTAAATATAAGTTTTATAGCAGTAACTTTTTTCCTAAATGTAAATATTATTTTTTAATTTACAATTTTTTTTCCGACAAGTTAAACTTACAATTAAATAAAACAAAAATTACTACTAATTTGGCGCCGAGCATAACATATTAGTATTTTAAGTAGTAAGATTACAAAGAAGACTGATCAGAAGCCACCTGCATCCATTAACAATCCACAATTTTTACTAGCCAAGTATTTAATGTTAGCACATAATTAAAGGATTGGCTGACTGTTTCCTGAAAGTAACTCAATTTACACAATCTTAATAAATGAATTAAAACTATCCACATAATTCAAAAATAAAGCTTAAAAACATAATTATAGTATGCAGCAAAAAATGTTGGGGTGTGCATAAACGGTTACGAAACAACATATTGTAACCTGCTTAAGTTATAGTAAAAATAAAACTTTTACTTACTTAATCTTGATGCCGGTGAAAAATAATGACAGTAAAGATGACCAAATAATCGGCAAACAGCCCCTACGGCATTTGCAGCCCGCTAACTACTCGTGAAGTAATATCCATCTGAGTTAATACACTAAAAATCCTGAAAATCTTACCTGAAACAATTTGTGACGTGTAAGTAAGAGAAATCAGATCATTTTATCAACAATACTCACAAGAACTAAACATGTTACTTTCACTGCAGAAAAGTCACAACAAAGCAAAACATATGTGTAAGAATTTAGGCCCAAAATTTAAAAGAATAACTAACTATTCTCTACAGAGCTTTCAAAATATCTTGAAAGGAATAAGTGTAATATTTCGTAAATTCGATTTCAATTAAATTTTGCAATTTTCGACAACCATAAACTATGTAAACCGAAGAAACCGAACGGCGAACAGTACTGTCCACAGATAACTATTAACTAGTCAGACGACTAGGCTAGGCTAGTAAATGTCAAAATGAGAAATCGATTGAGCTGTCCCTAATATCGATATCCTGATGCCCAGCCATGCTTTTAATAAAAAAACAAAACTAAATTATTTATCTATTTGAAACGATTTCATAAAAAATATAGAATAAAGTGTAATTGCAAAAACCAGTATTACTTTTCTTACAAATGTTATTTTAAGCACTAAAAATCTGTATGCATTAGTGCTTGTTGACTGTTTCAGAAAGTACTTGTATCGTATAGGCCTGGAGCCAAATTCTGCGTGGAGACTACAGGTCGATATATTGATGAGATATTTAGATATCTCGACTCATTAGTGAGTCCGATAAAGACGATATTTCTGTCTGATCAAAAGTGAGTGCATGATTAATTCTACAGCCTCTTTCTATGAGGAAATGAAGTCCGTTAAAAATGTGATGGCAAGGAAACGGAAGAGGGGTAATCCTCCCTTGTCCCAAAAAAGTGGCACCAGGTACTGATCTGTTTTCTCGGATGTTAAATGCTGCCTTTTGCCTTAGTAGAAGCAGGCTTGAAATGGGGCCAAAGAGCGACGAGTTCCACGCGCACCTTTTAATACCGGAGAAAATAGTGGACTGTCTATGGCGTCTGGGCCAGCCAAATGGTTAGGCTGTCTATGGCAGCCAAGGTCAGTCATGTCAGCCAAGGCAGCAGGGTTCTCAGAGACTCGGGTGTACCTTAGGAAGGATCCTAGGGTATACTCGAGTCCCTTGCAATAAACTAACATGTGACGAAAGTCATGTGGTTTTTAGTAACCGACCGAAGTGATACGGCTGCACCGAAACTCAGTAGGTATTCGTTAAGTGTCGTGCGTCGTTCGGCTAACTCGTGGACACCGGCTCTGGCTCAGTTTGCCGTCGTCCAGTGCAATTTTTTTTGGTGTTTGGTGGCAAGCGAGCAGACGGGATGATGGTAAGTGACCAACGTCCGTAGACCCCTTCAACTTAAGAGTCACCAGTGCATTGCCGCCCTTTCAGTCCCTCCCCCCAGAATCAGGAGAAAGGGGAAAGTTTGGGCTCCGGTAACTTCACTCACTCGGTAAAAAGCAACGAAAGAAATGATTAATACAGGTTTTCTGTGAGGCCGTGGTATCACTCCGGACGAACGTGGCATGGCTCTCCCACGACTAACTCATCTTGTTAGTTGTGTTTTACGGATAAATAATTTTGTAGTTGTTTTTTTTGGTTTTTAGTTGTAACTAACATAGTTTTATCTCAAGACCTTCTTTATGTTGATTTTTTTTTGTATTAGGACCTTTTAAGTGTGATATTTTAAGGCAGATACCTTATATGCATATTGCACGCACAAAATATTTGTTCCGTAACTACTATACGTTTAAATTACACATTTAAAATTACTTACGAGTACATTACGAAAGTTTGTTTTCTCGTAAGTCTTTATAGTATTTTTTTTTTATGAGCGTACAATTTCGTGCATTTTTTTGATGTGAGTCTGAATTCCGTACGATGCCATGTCACCGCTAGAAAGTATGACACATAAAAGAGATTATGTTTGATACAGATGTGACTTAGGCGATGTTGATGTTACTTATAGGGCGAAAATTAACCTCAAGCGTTTCTGGAGTTTTAATTATCTTTTTGTAATACGCCACCTCACCCCGTACTTTTCCGTTTATCGCTTCAGGTACCTATCTAGTTAATTTTGACCGGTGAATTGCTAGTATTTAATACCTACCTACGTATTTTTATTTATTTTTTAACTACCTACCTAATACATTTTCTCTTGTATAAATTTAATATTTAATCTAGATGAAGGCGAGGAAGCAACTGATTTGTAAAAACATACAAACTTGGCCATTTTGCTATTGTTGTCATAACTTTTTCTGCATTTCGATAACAACTATTCATGTTAGCGTCGTGAATTATAATCGCATTGTCATCTGCATAGCAAACAATTTTGGTGTTCTGCAAAGACAACCGAGCACGATTGTTCATGTAAATCAAGAACAGCGTCGGCCCAACACTACCCTGTAGCACTCCAAAAGATATTTCATGTTTCGTACTGAGCCAGGAATTTTCCAGCCTCATTAGTAAGGTCGTAAGCCTCGTCTTCGGTGGACCTATTTTTACGGAAATGGAATTTAATTGTCAGCTATAATGTGATTCATTTCTGAGTATTTCACTTCTTTTTTTTTGGGACTAATCCCACCCACACGCCCACCACTGTAACTCCTGTAATTCCTGTACATACAGAAATTAAACTGTCTTGGAACCCGCAACGAAATTAATCAGAAGAAAATTGGAGGAGTTGGAAATACAGTAAATCCACTTCCCTCCTTAGCAAAGCGGGAGACAAAATGAAGTAAAATAGGCATACACCCTTTTAAACAGGGAAGCACCACGGCCACAAAATATTACGGGTCCTACATGAGCTATATTTGATTTCTATAATATGTATGGCAGAATCGCCTAAACGCACGGAAATTCACCCTAGTTGACACAAGATCCCCATAGTATACCGCCCCAGATGTCGCCTGCAAGCTATTCAGCATTATATTACGTTCATTATACCAAAGACTACATTCCCAGAGGATATGATGAGCAGATTGTTCATAATGAGAGTTAGGTGTTGAGCATTGACACAATGGTGACTGGACTAATTTAAATGTATACAACTTGCTCTTAAAGTTACCATGACCCGTAAGAAATTGAGCGACACAGTGATCCACCTCAAGCCATGTCCTCGACAACCGTTCGCGAACAGATGGAAAAAATTGGTAAAGATGGCGCCCCTTGGATGATTCGTCCATGGCTGCACGTCTCTGCACCTCGAGATCGACCGGAAGGACACCTGCCAACACCGGCAAAGCCTCAGTGCTAACCGTCCTATATGCCTTGCACAAAAATATCAGTGCAAGTCGTTGGCCTTGTAACAGTTTGCGACGGACAGCGCCTACGGTCGCCGTATCGGCCCA